ATACCAGAGAAGTACTCTTCTCAACACGGCGATCTTGACTGAACCCAGCCCTACCTTTATTTCCTGATCAATTTAGTTTGGAGCAGTTCACCACCACATCTGTAAATCACGCAGCACCTCGCCATCATAAGTCAAATGTCACACACACACACACACACACACACACACACACACACACACACACACACACACACACACACACACACACACACACACACACACACACACACACACACACACACACACACACACACACACACACACACACACACACAATCGTTGCTGTGATGAGGTTGCCGACGCTACTTTGCAAAGTAAAGGGATATGGTTCTATGAATGTAAAAACACTTTTATTTATACATTTTTTCCAGGAATGTTTAGATATTTTCTCGTCGATTTGTGACTATAATCTTAAAAAAGATATAATCTTATATCTAAGAATATTAAACTTTTGATTTTTTTGGGTTCTCCTAAATGTACTGATTTAATCTCATTTGAGAACATTAAGATTTACAAATATATCATTTCGTTTTCTCATTGATGTACCATATTCATCTTTGAAAATATCCAATTCAATCTACATCTTTTGAATATGACCCCCTCCCCAGGCACAACAAAAACATATATATTTGTTTTTAACCTAAAATGGGCCTAATAAGCCATCATGTATGTGTCATTGTTTTATGCTTTTTTGCTGTAAAAAATGTATTTATAGGGTATTATTTCCCTGTTGTGTTTTTCAGTCCAGGTTCAATGTGAAGTCCGAAGAGGAGGGCAGCACCAGCGAGAGATATCTGCTCTATAGAGAATGGGCTCATCCCAAAAGCTTCTACAAGATGCAACCACTGAACCTCATCAGGTGAACCGTCATGTCCCAACAATGAACTTAAAGTCCTTTCATAATTCAATACACCAGACGTGTGGTTTATGTCTTCGTCCTTGCACTGTTGTTTTTTTCCTGAGTGAGTAATCGAGCCACAGGAGATCAAACCATTGTTTGCTTTCACAGGAAGTATTACGGGGAGAAGATCGGCATTTACTTTGCCTGGTTGGGTTTCTACACAATAATGCTGACTCTGGCTGCCGTTGTGGGTCTGGGATGTTTCATTTATGGATTCCACACTCGAGGTACCAGCACCTGGAGGTACATTTCCTAGGAGATATTCAATTATGTGTGATATTTTGGAGATTTCCCTGTGTAATAATGTCTGTCCTGATTGCAGCGAAGAGGTGTGTAACCCTGCCATTGGAGGACAGATAGTGATGTGTCCACAGTGTGACAGAGAGTGCGTATACTGGAAGTTAAACAGCACCTGTGAAGCTACAAAAGTGAGTTTTATTTCATTTCAACACTAAAATAATCTGTTTTATTAACCCTTAAATGGTTTCTGTTTCGCCTGGGTATACAGTCATTAGACAGGCTGTATCAATGTGTAGCATGGGTGCAGGGGCGGACTGGGACTACAAATCAGCCCGGGACTCTCGACTGGCCCACTTCGGTACCGCCGGCCCACCGCGGTACCGCAAGTAAATACCGCTAGTAAATTGTCGACAGGGGGGGGTGACTTACCGCAGAGGTAGACATTAAGGGTGAAATGCCACTGGCCCTCTGGAACAACACATTTGTTGCAATAGTAATTTATGCACTAACTGCATTACTACTTGAATCATCAGTTCTTCCTCATTTTCCTCAATTGTTCATATTTGGTTTATTAAAATAATATAATATATAACAATAATATTGTGGTCATTGTTAAAAAATGTCTGCTATTATTATGAGTATTATTATTTGTATAAAGCGCTTTCTGCCTTCCTGTCATTAGGAGTTAGAAATGTAATGGCTATGTAATTGATTAGATTAGAACCTTCATTATCCTGCTGGGACATTTCCCTATAGCCAATACCTTTATATTGTCTACTCTTCACTTCCTTGTCAGCATAGCCATGGGAACATGTTTC